CCGCCTGGCTCTGCCTCCCGAGTGCTGGGATTATTATTCTTATTTTTAACTTTGGTCTTTGATCATTTACAGAGGTTTACCAAAATATTTGCTTTATAGTTTCTCCTGAAATTTTTGTTCTCTCTTCTACAGGTGTTCTATCATCCAGAGCAGTATGGTTTCTTACAAGAGTCATTAGGTTCTTTAATTGCTCTGGGAAGGAGTTTCCTCCATGATGACAGGAAACAACTGAACCAAATTTGGCATGGGGGCCTGAGAGAGGCCCCTCAATGCATTTCCCGATGACAAAGGGTTACCTTGACTGTCCCTTATTGATCTACATTCATTAGTCCAATGTCTGCCTATGCCACACCTTCTGCATAATCCAGAAGGGAGGGGCATTCTGTTGAGATTATTCTTAGAAAAAACATTGTTTCTAGGAACACCCTGTTTACAGTCCCTTCTTAGGTGACCTTGTTTACCACAATTGAAACACCTTACGTTTTGATTTTTCTTCAAACCTCTGGAAATTACCTCTCCTATCCAAGCATCATCATGGTTATGAGATTCAATATTGACTGTATCTTGGATTCATTCCTCCAAGGGTGCTGATCTTGCCTTTAATGGCCTAATTACCTTTTTGCATTGTGCATTAGCATTTTCAAAAGCCAGAGATTCAATTATTATTTGTCTAGCTTCTGAATTTGGTATCATTCTATTTACTGCTGAAGTCAATCTTTGTAAGAAATCAGTGAAGGTTTCTTTTGGGCCCTGTATAACTTTAGTAAATGACTCAGTTTTCTTTCCTACTTCTTCAATTCTGTCCCAAGCATTCAAGGTTGCTGTGAGGCGTACATCCAGGATGTGATCATCATATAGAGATTGTCTTTCTACATTAGCAGAATCTCCCTCTCCAAGAAGTTGGTCTTGGGAAATTCCCCTACCTCTAGCCCTACTTTGTTGTTCAATGGTCTTAGCCTCATCCTTCCATCAGGTCCTCCACTGTAATTGAGGACCAGGCTCCAAGACTGCTGTAACCAAGTCTCTCCAGTCTTGAGGGATAATTCTATTATAAGTTGACCATGAGTTTAACATCTGCTTCACAAAAGTGAATGCATGCCACATGAGAATAGTGCTTCCTTGAATCTCCTTAAATCCAACATTTCTACAGGAGTCCATTCAGCTCTTACACAGCCTTGGGGATATCTATCATTTGGCAATTCCTGTAAGGTTACTGGATAAATTAAAGTTAGTTGTTTGAAAACTTTAGGCTATTCCTCTTTAACCTAATAACCAACACTGAGATTGATTCTCCTTTAAATTCCTCTGTCTGGGTCTGAATGTCTCTATGATCTGTTTTAATAAGTTTTTCTAAAACTTGTATCTTAGCACTCATATAGACCAACTTTTTTAGTGATAAAATAAAAATGATAGCCAGGTGGTGGTGGCTCATGCCTTTAATCCCAGCACTTGGGAGGTAGAGGCAGGTGGATCTCTGTGAGTTTGAGACCAGCCTGGGCTACAGAGTGAGTTCCAGGATAGGCACCAAAATTACACAGAGAAACCCTGTCTCAAAAAAACAAAAACAAAAACAAAACTCAAAAAAAAAAAACCCAAAAATGATAAAAACTGATACCTATAATTGACATTACATGTATCCCATCTAAATTAATTATTCCTCTCATTTAATTGTTCTATGTTTAAACCATCCAGCATATTATCATACAGAGACCTAACTCCCTCCATTGTAATAGTGTTTTACATTTTTTTAATGTGGGGAAAAAAACTCTCTCTTTTAACTAATTCCTTCCTTTAAGAATTCCCAATTGTCTCACCAAATCTGCCGGCAATGATAATTCAGATGAGGTCAGTGAAGATGTGAGGCTGGCTGCGGCTATGTAGAACAGTAGACACCTGAGTGAGTTTTCAAGGCAGCTACCTACTGTGGCAGCAGCCTGAGGAGGGGTCCAGGGAGAACCCACAACCCACCAGGAGAGGGAACCTGCTGTCTGAAAAAAACGCACACAGGGGATCATGGGGAAGAAACACGTGCTGCGGAAACTGCCTAAAAGCAGAGCTGTGTGGTGGTGAGGGGCTAACTCTGGCAGCAGCATATTGAGCCCACGTGCCTGTGGAGTTTGTTGCAAAGAGGCTGTAGCAGAAAAAAAAAATTCAAAACTCGCTCAGAGTCTTAGGGAAAAAAAGAGAAGAAAACTCAGTCAGTAAGACAGTGACTCCTGCAGGAGCCCCTGTGCAGCTCTGGAGTGTGCCGGTGGCTATAAAGCCACAGGCAAGCAGCTTTTTCATGAATTTGTGCCCCAAAGCTGGATACCAGATGTAGCGCGATTTCTAATTAGTATTAATAATAAAAACCAAGACTCAGATATTGAGGTAAATGCTGAAAGATCAGGGAAGTAAAGGAGCAGCCGAAGTTACCTCTTACCTCCATGATTCCTCAGACCAAAAAGGGGCCGAGCTTCTGTCTCCACCCACCTTATATTCCTCTCTCTGCCAGCCATATCACTTCCTGTTTCTTGTCCATATAGACTTTCAAACCTCTATGGTTAGCTAATGACTAGCTACACCCTATGATCTCCAGGCAAACTTTATTTGTTCGGGCACAAACAAAACACCACCACAGGTTTCTCTGTGTAGCCCTAGCTGTTCTAGAAGTAGCTCTGTAGACCAGGCTGGTCTCGAACTCAAAGAGAGATCCACTTGCTCTGCTTCCCAAGTGCTGGGATTAAAGGAATGAGCTCCCACTGCCCAGCAATATGCTGAGTCAAAGGGTATCAACCCTCTTTTGGCTTCTGCCAAAATGTTCCCCAGAAAGGGCATGTGACTTTTCAGTTAGAATGACTGAGACTAACACCCCATAGCCTTTGGCAAGTGGGTGTTAGGCTTCTGGGTTTCCTGGAGTCTACAGTTTCTTTCCCAAAGCTCGCCTCTGCTGAAGTATTCATCTTCCTTAGTCCCAAGTTCCTTGAATTGTTTCTCTTTTAAAATTTACAATACTGCCGGGCGGTGGTGGCGCACGCCTTTAATCCCAGCACTCGGGAGGCAGAGCCAGGCGGATCTCTGTGAGTTCGAGGCCAGCCTGGAGTACCAAGTGAGTCCCAGGAAAGGCGCAAAGCTACACAGAGAAACCCTGTCTCGAAAAACCAAAAAAAAAAAAAAAAAAAAAAAAAAAAAAAATTTACAATACTGTGTTTCCTAACATCAAATTTTTGCCTGTTCTATTCCAAAGCCTTCTTTACACCATTTCCCTTCTAATGATTTGGAGTTGGACTAGACTACTGTTTCCTACAGAGTTGAGTCATAACTAGAAGATAGGTCCCAGAAGGCAAGAATTTCTCTCCTCTGTGGAGCCCAAATTTCAACAAAGACAGAGACAGGGCTGTCTCGAGTGGAACAATCACTTTTATAAATTAATAAATTTGCTGTTCCCCTAAAAAAAAAAAAAAAGTAGCCATGTGGATAGGCAGTTCAAGGCTGTGGAAAGTGTTTTCTCTCTTTCTCTGGGAAGTGAGTTATTCTAGTCAGGGAAAGCAAAAACTATTCTAAGTATTTAAATATAGAAGGGGTCCCACAAGATGGCTCAGTGGGTAGAGAGAGGTGCTTGTCACCAAGCCTGGCAACCTTTGATGACCTGAGTTTGATCCCTGGAACCCACAGGGTGGGAGGAATTTTTCCTCTGACCTCTACACTCATACCATGGCATGTACACCCTCACAACAAACAAACGTTAAACACAGAAGGAATTTAATTTAGGGTATTGTTTACCAGGTGACTGGAGTGTGCAGAGGTCAAACAGATGCTGAGACAGCATGGAGATCTGCAACCTCGGGGAGTTGATTCTACCCTATTCTAGAAGGACAAAGAGAAGAGCAGGGTCAAGGGTCACCCACAAGAGCCTGGGACTGGTGTGGGCCTGTCCACTGGAAGCTGGACCACAGAAGTGCTGCCGGTGTTTCTTGTCAACTGGAGGGCAGGGAATGGAAGGGGGGGACTCTTCCGGATTTTCCCTCCCAGACTTCTCCCAGTGTACCCCATTGGCAAAGAGCTGGTTAACACAGATGTTTCTGGAATTGTATGGAGCCTGTGTTTGACCCTATGAACAGAGCAGAGCAAGAGAAGGGTGTGGAGAGCATGTGGGCCAGGCACAATGACCTCTGAGTCCCTTCAAGTTTACAGACAGTAGGATACCCATGCTAGCCATGGGGAGGTCGGCAGACCCAGGTTTGAATCCTGGCTCTGACACTCACTGACCTCAGGAAGTCACACAATCCTTTTAAGCTCCAGTTTCCTTATCAGCAAAGGAGCCAGTATGGTAGGAAGATCAGGCGTTGGAGGCCAGCCTGGGCTACACAGTGAGACCCCGTTTTTATTTTATTTTATTTTATTTTTTTAATTTTTTTTTTTTAAATTTTATTTGTCATGTATACAGTGAGTGTTCAGCCTGCAGGCCAGAAGAGGGTGCCAGGTCTCATTACAGATGGTTGTGAGGCACCATGTGGTTGCTGGGAATTGAACTCAGGACCTTTGGAAGAACAGCCAGTGCTCTTAACCTCTGAGCCATCTCTCCAGCCCCGAGACCCTGTTTTTAAAAGACGGATATATAGAGACAAGGAAGGTTGCTGAGAAAAACTGCATCACACGGGAAGGGGGGGGCATTGAGAGGATCAAACTAAACGATAGCTTGGAGTAACAGTAAACATTTAACAAATATTTCCCTTTCATTACAGTCTGGATGTGAAAAGGATTGTGTGTCATTGTAACTAAAGGAGAAATATAAAATGATAATACCAGGGTCTTTTCGCTTTTGATGTTTTTCCCCATATATGATCTGTGAGCCTCACAACAGTAGTTCTTGGCATATAGGGCAAGATGACGGAATTGGAGGTCTGAGTTTCGCGCCTTCACGCCCTCAGGACCAAGAAGTTACATTCAGGACCAAGAAGTTACATTCAAAGCTGCAATTGCGTTTATGAACACGTCACCAGCACCTTTCCCAAACCCACCTGTCTCCTTCCGTATGCCAAAATGGCTTCTTTGAGGTCTTGAAGCGTGTGCAGTTCAAGGTCTGGCTTCTTCCTGTGACCTCTTTTCCTCTCTTTGGGTGTCCAGGCTGACACAGCTAGGCCCTCTGAGTATAGGATCAGTGCTCCCTTTCTTGTGCTGAAGGTCTTAGGAAGTAAGAGGCTCCAGGAGTGCTGGCTGGCACTGTCCCCATCCTGGGGGTTACTGACCAAGACATAGTCTTCTGGGGACTTCCAGTTCAAATAGTCCTTTATGGAAAGGAAAATGCCTTGATTGACACACTGTGGAAAATCCTTCGGCAGCAAATACTGTCTGTGTGAAGTTTTTGGCTTTCTAAAACCATGTGTTTATTTATGTGTGTACATGCAAGCCCATGAGCCATGGCATGTGTAGAGATCAGAGGACAGTGTGTGGGCATCAGTTTTTGTCTTCCACCTTATGGGCTACAATCCTATCCACATGTACATTTAATTAAAAATAATAAAAAGAAACCTTAAACACACACACACACACACACACACACACACACCACACACACACACACACACACACACACACACACACACACACACACACAGAAACCCAACACAATAACAAAAGTTAGTAGAACCTAGTACAAAAATCCATTTTATTCCACACAGCCTTCAGGAGAGCCGTGCCTGCCTACAGGCTAGTTACAACTCCTGGTGTGCAAGCAGGGAGTCAGGAGTATCAAGGACAGTAGATGACTTGGCAATTGGACCTGCACTAGTAACCAGTTTAAATATGAGAAACTATTCCAACCCACTCTGTTTCAGCTATGCATAGAGAAACTATCTATACATTCCAGACTGGGTAAACACTGCCTAATTTGGCTATATATCGGAGCCTATAAAGGAGCCACATTATTTTGTAAGTGTATGCCATTGGCCACTGAAGTCCTTTGAAACTTTATATATCTTTTAACACAGCGAAGGTCAAATGTCACAGCAAATACCACGATGATGGAGTGCTCTGTTTGACGCACGGATTTACAAAGTACCCCCAATGCGTTTATTGTTCCTGGCAGTCCTCAAGAAATAAAACGCCAGCACAACAAGAACAAGGGGATTTTTGCCACCTCTTTAAAAATCCTCTAAAACGAGATTTGTTTTGGCCTCCATTAAATATGAATCCTGTGGGTTGAATTCCACAAAGTTCAAAAAAGCCACTGAACGGCACAAATACGGCATTCCAACCACCAAGCACGGCTCCTAAAAGCCAATAGCAGTCGGTTCTCCTAATTCCTTCTACAGACCAGGTAGGAATTCTGGTCTTGAACCAAATGCCCAGTCTCCAGACAATCTTGATTCTCCCTCAGGCTCAAGTAAAGGCAGTTGGAATCGGGTATCAGCAAGGCAGGCTGTTCCCGTGGCAATCACAGATGTCAAACAAAAAGAGGGAAGATCTACCAGTGGCCAACATCTTGGCTCCAACACTCACCAAAACACAGCTTGGAAAGACAGAGCATCCCTCCCCCATGCTCAAAATGTGTCCCCTCCCCGCAGCTCTAAGACTTACCTCTGGTTCAAAATAGACTTCCAACTTCTGTTTATTCTGGACCAACTTCCCGTGTCCCCGGCTCAGGAGAGAGAGGGTGAGCATGATCCCTCCCCGACTACTCCCTCTCAAGGGCAGTTCATCTTGGTTTTGAAGGCTGAAAACTGGTCACACCTCAGGGTTTCCAAAGCTCAACAGCAAACCAAAAGAGACCATGAACATTGGGCCTTTTATGAAATCTATTTCCCCTTGTAGAGAAACCCAGTAACATCCAGCCACACAGTTTAGACAGAGTGCATCTTTGTGGAGAGAAGAACCGAACCCGTAAGGCCCCTCAGACAGCAGGCTGTGTGCTCTCTGCTGCTCTGAGCCCTTGTTGTCCCTGAGAACTGGTTGCTCTGCTACAGGCCACATGCATCTGCAAATCTGGGCCAAGGCACCATCCTTCTCATTGTGAATGGAGGTTGTTTCCTGGTTGCTATGGCAGCATAGGGAAATGAAGTCCTTTTACCCAGGCAAAGGCACTGCTGGTTCACTGCCTGGGAGGAGGGTGGGGAGCTGTCCACTGGACATTGAAGGGACCAGACTCACATACCAAGTCCTGAGGGTGGGGTGGGAAGCCATGTTGGGGTCTTTTTTTTTTTCTGATGTGTGTCCATTTGCTTTTAATAAGTGTCTTCCCTTTCCTCCTGCCTGTCACTGTCAACTAACTATTAACAGACTCAGGGAGTCCTCTAGGTCACCCAAAGCCATCTGTGATGTGTCCCTTGCCTGTGCCCAGGATCCCCTGAACTAGACAGGAGGCCTCATTTTACAAATGACTGCTTTGCATGAGTGACTGGGAGACACCGGGAAGTTCTGACTTCCTTGGCACGCCTGGTTCTCAGTGGGGGACATTTTGGTTGTCACATCTCTTACACACACACACACACACACACACACACACACACACACACACACACACCCACACACACACACACACACACACACACACACACACACACACACACACCACACATGCACTCCCCCCACACCACACACATACACACCACACACACACACACACACACACACACACACTCACACACTCATGCACGCACGCACGCAAGAGGACCATACCACACCCCTCTTGGGCCCAGGATGTTAAATGTCCTGCCAGGTGTGACTGTCTTGCGTAATGGATATCACTTGGCACCCTGTTAGGAACTTAACCACTTGTTTCCTTTAGATGCTGACAGTGAGCTCCGAACAAGTTGGTGAGGGCCAGGAAGTCAGAGGGTCCTGCTGCAGCTTAGGACCCAGTTTTGGCCAGGGTGGGGGTGGGGGGAAACAAACCGCTCATGGTATTCAGAAGTGGGCCGGCCCACCTACCTATCCCTATCACTTTCCTCTCCGAGGAGCCTTCCCAGGGCGCCACAGCAAACCTCCCCCACCCGTCAAGACAGGCTCAGAACTCCTAGCACTAGACCTCATGCTGTGAAATGAGATTGAGTTTAATGAGGAGGAATTAAGATCCTGAAGGTAGAGGTTCAAAACTGAGCTTAGTCAAATCAACAGTGAGGTCACCCTTCACACCTGGGAAGCTGTAAACAGAAGAAAGCAATGAACAACAGCCAGTGTTGGTGAGGGACGGAGAACTCAAAAATCCTTGTACACCAATGTGCATTTAAAATGGTGCATCCTTGCGGGGGTGGGGTGGGGTGGTGGGGTGGTGGAGGTGGGTGGGGTGGCCGGCACCTTTAATCCCAGCATGTGGGAGGCAGAGGCAGGTGGATCTCTGAGTTCATCTACAGAGCCAGGACAGTCAAGGTTACACAGGGAAACTCTGTCTTAAAAAACAAATCAAGGCCGGGCGGTGGTGGCGCACGCCTTTAATCCCAGCACTCGGGAGGCAGAGCCAGGTGGATCTCTGTGAGTTCGAGGCCAGCCTGGGCTACCAAGTGAGTCCCAGGAAAGGCGCAAAGCTACACAGAGAAACCCTGTCTTGAAAAACGAAAAAAAAAAAACAAAAAAAAAAAAAAAAACAAATCAAAACAACATAAACAGGCAAACAATAACAATTAAAATAAAATGGTGCATCCTTGGTGAAAAATGGTATAACAGGTGAAAAAAAAAAAAAAAAAACCCACAACCAAGCACATAATCAACACATTGTCCAGGAAGTCACTTTGGGGTGTATTCCCCAAAGGGGTTTCTAGAAGCAGACTCTCGGATTTGTCTTCCCTGTGTTCATAGTAACCAACTGAAACAGTTAAAATGTGAAATCAATCCAGTTATCCATGTTGTGCCCAGATCATGACCCCCAGAGAGACCACCAAAGACGAGCATGCCGGAATGCAAAAGCAAGGTTTAATTCTGGATATTCAATACAAGCCTAGGCAGGGACTTCGTCCAATACATCCAACGCAGTGGAGGCTGGAGGAAGTGCCCGCCTGTCTGCAAGCTCAGTTTTTAAAGGGAAAAATCACAAGGTTACATCGTTTAGGGGTGCTAGTACGGGTACAATTCTAATTGGCTCGCTTCTAGGGGCTTTCTAGAAATCATGGCTTAATCTTACTTCTAAGGGAGTGGTTGCCCGCCACCATTTCTCATTGGTTGCCCTCAGGTGGGGGCATTTTTATGGTCAGTTACCCTGGAAACCAGGGAGAGGACATTCCATAGTCCGGCAGGCATTTCCTCGTGACTATCTTGTGACTCTGTACTTTTACACTTCCTGGTTTCTGGAATCTGAACTGACTGGTTTAAGTAACTAATGGCCTATTCCCAAAAGGAGAAATCTTAGGCCTTAATTTTAGGGTGAAAGCATTTTGGTCTTATTTCTAAGATGGCTCATTTTGGTCTCACAATCCACTGATACACAGTTGATTGAACAAAATTCGACACACGTATACATTATTGTTAAAACATTGTTCGGCTTTAAAAAGAGAAAGAAATTCAGATGTGTGCTCCAATACTGATAAGCCTTGAAGATATTACGCTAAATGAAATAAGCTAGTGACCATTTTGGTCACATGTCGAGGGTGCTATTTACATCACACATCTAGAGTAGTCAGATTCCCAGAACCAGGAAGGGGACGGTGGTGGCTGGGGGCTGGGGGAGGGGCAAGGAGACACAGAGTTAGTGTTCTGTGGAAACTGTTTGGGAAACTGAAAGCCTTCTGGAGATAGCCTCACCACAGGGTGGACGTTCTTAGTTCCAAGGAACTGTTGACTTAAAATGTTACACTTCTGTACCTTTTATCACAATTAAAATTTTTTTTTCAAATGTATAGCACAAATTTGAAAGCCAAATCAAACACTTGCTAATCCAAGTGGTCAGCATATCCTGAAAGGAACCCCTCACAACTGGTGGGACAAAAGGCTTCAAAACGAGGGCTCTAAATAGTTCCCAGGGGTCCCAGGCTACTGTTGACCGTCTTCCTTCTCAATACCTCTTCAAAACATAAAGGAGACCCCCTGACAAAGGTTTCCCAAGTGGTAACTATAGCCGAGATGAAGCCCTAGTCTCGAAGAGTACCCCAGCCCTGAAAGACAGGACAGCTGTGTTCCCAGAGGTGGAGGACAGAAGGCGTGTGTGGGGGGGGGTGTGGTAGAGGGAAGGCGTGGATGGTGGGAGCTGTGGACGTCTGCAGACAGGAAGGGTGTCAGGGTGAGACATGAAAGGGCAGTTCAATGGGAAGATGAGGATAGTGAGGGGACAGGATGAAAGAGGACATTACAGAAGACGGGCATGCACATGGCAAAGGGGTGACCTCTCTGGCGACCATGGCCACGAAGGTCATGTATACACTGTCTTTCATTCCTCAGCTCTTCCCTCTCCCGGCTTTTCTTTTTAACGACAGGGTCTCATATATCCCAGGCTGACCTGGAAATTGCCGTGTAGTCATGGTGAGCTGGAATTCCTGTTCCTCCTGCCCACTCAGACGGGGTTTTCAAAGCAGGGAGGTGATGTGCGTCCATCTGGGGCTTTTGAAAGGAAAGTCTGAGAGACTTGTAAAAGGTGATGGTAAGCAGGGTGCTTATCTCGTGAACCTCTGGGTGAACCCTCAGGACTCAGAACCCAGGCCGGTCTTCCCTTGGACTTGAATGAACTTGTCAAACAGGTCAGGAATGACTAGTCAGTTGCTATAGGACCGCTGAGTGAAATATAGAAAGGGAAACTCCGTCAGTGGCAAGAAAAATCATACCGTTTTGGAAATGGCATTGCTAAAAAGAGAGTAAGACACTCAGAAGAGCATGATGGAGTGATTGGGGGGAAGCTGAGAGCCACAGCTGCCAGCCGAGGGGTGACTCTGTTTCTCCGGTGGACATTCTCTGGGGGAGCCCCACAGATTCTGACACACCGATTTGTCCACAGATAGCGAACGGGACACCAAGAAGCGATGACTGTTCCAGTCTAGTTTCTCAAGAATCTCACTTGAGAAAACCCCCAGGTGTCCGTGCCGTCCAGGGCAAGGCAGCTAGGCCTCTCTGGGGTTGTCGTCTGTGAGCAGACAGCCCACAACCCCCAGCAGGCCTCTCCTAAATCATCGTGTTTACATCCATGCTGTTTAATATGGACAATGAGCAGATCCATGGATCAATTAATAGGCATTTAAAAGCGTTTACTCAGTCCCCGCAACAGTTTATAGAAAGTGCATTTAGAAAGCAGTCGAGGTTATTGCTATTCTAAAGTGCTCAGGGATCCCAGATGAAAGGCCCTTGTGACTGGGAAGTATTTATAACTCAAGAAGGATCCCTCCACACCCCTGTTATACAACACCGCCACCCCCCCGTGGCATGCCTGACCTGCCAGCCCAGGCCGCGTGCATGTTTAAATTACACTGTAAATTCTACAGGGTGGAGACCTTGTCTTTATGGTTTGTAAAGCATCGTGAATAACCATGGTACTCTGCAAATAAATAAAAACCACATGAAACGACAGAAATAGATGCCTCATCCCCTTTGTGTTTGGGAATTTGTCCCTCGTTTCAAAGCCCTTGGGTTCAATGGCTGTCACTCCGCAAAAGTGGTTACGTCAGGATTTTCGTGCCCCCCCCCCCCCCTTCGCAGAAGAGTGATGGTGTAGTTTTATTTATCTTCAGCCTACAAGATCTGCTGGGGCTGTCTTAACTGCTGTCTGAAGGGCACAGAGAGAACAGTTTCACAAAGCCACACCGCAAAGCAGAGGTGGCCTGGGACCTTCCCTGAATTTGGTCCTAACCTGTTGTTTATACCGGAGTGGTGGTAACTCTCCCTAAGAAACTCCTCCCAGGCTAACACTCACCCATCAGCCTCGCCATGCTGCTGTGGAGATGGAGGCAGGACTCTAAGCCCTCGGACCTGACTTCCGGGACTCCCTCCAACGCTCACCCTGGCTTCTCTTTGCTTTACCTTACAAGTGGGTTTGTGGATTTGTCTGGGTCAGCTCTCAACT